CAGAAGGCATATCTATAAAGTCGCGACCTGCAATTTGCAACAGCAGCAGCTTAAATGGCCATATACACCGCAGTAATTTTCTGAGCAACGCGACCAGCCCTTTTCCCCTCTACACGTGTGTGTACACGTATGCAGCTTGGAGTTTCTCTCTTATCTTTCTTGTTAAGCGCTGTACTTTCTCTATACATTGAAAATCCACCACCTCCTCCATATATGTTTTTGGTTTTTCTTTGTTTTTCACTCTAATTTTCTCGTGCGGGGCGTCTTTGTTGCGAACCTTTTTCTCGATTTGTTGGCGTGAGCGCTGCGACCTTTAATCCAACGCGAGCTGCTGCTTTCTTTGACTTTGTCTTTACCTTTTCCCCACAGATGAAAGTATATAACGTGTTACATACGAATGTTTGCACTCATATTCCATTACTAAATGTAGGTCGTTGACGAACAAAGCCAATGGAAATATACGTTGCATGTTTTATCTTTCCTAGAACCATTAGTTGATTAATGTTTTTTAGAAAGGGAGAGTTTTAAAGAAGGAATAAAACAAGCGTTATCGTTGAAGCATGCATATGTCGAGACTTGTCGTAAATGTAATACTGCAAGTCTTACTCAAGCGTTGGAATTACAGCATGTGACTCGTAACGTTGGACCTACAGTCTGGAGACCCGTAGCATTGGACGTCCGACACTTTACGAGTACATCTCATGTTGGATCTCCAACATTGGAGCTTCAACGAGTTGTGGGTTCTACACTGGAATTCTATATAATACCAATGCTCGGAGCGTTATATTTGCCCCTGCACGTCACTGCTTACTTAGATATATTTGAACTATTTTCGGTACACACGTGCTCCAATGATTAAGGATGGCTTACTTTTACTTTCCATTAACTTGATACGATTGCATTGAATCCATTTCGGCTCTATAAGTTTAACAAATTTGCCTTTGTAGATCTGGACGGGGTATTATGAATAAGTGATTTGTAAATAAACCGAACATGTACTTTTCTTAAAAGCTTACGAGGAAAGCACCTTTTAATGGTAGCTGACTTTTATAGACAAATGATCAATAGACTCATAATGGAAAATGCGGGGCCACACGTACACACTCACACGAGCAATAGTTTTATAGTCCACTACTTTTTCTTACCGCAAAAAAAGTAAATCAAAAAAGAATGTTAGTTCAAAATTATGATTTACGAGAGAAAATTTTTAAGAAATAGTTTTCAAATATCGGTTTGACCGAAAAAGCTGAAATCAATTCAATATAATTGTTTTTAATTAATCTATAGAATTACGGTTTCTTTGCGACATCATGCTTAGCGGAGGACAAATCAAGGAAACAAATTTCTTCAATTACATATATACTTATTCAATATATACATACTTCAATTTTTCATTCATAGCCCGATGAATAAATAATTTCGAAAACTGTACAGACGAATATTAATTACTTACTCGTCGTAAAATATGAAATCGCACAATGTTTTTATTCAAATCCAATGATGAATCAACCTTCATTAAGCATAATAGTAATGATTAATTACAAAAAGTGACATTCCACTTCACTTCATTTTCTTTGTATAAGCGTCAGCAATGCACTCGTATAATGGCTCGCGCGTAAATTATTTTTGCACCATTAATAGTCTATAGCTAATAACTCGATAGCCCCTGTGAGAACTCAGTTGGAAAGGTCCATTTCGAATTGATTATTTCATTGGCTATACGTATTTGCAATAACCTCGTAAAATTTGACGATGCTCAAATGGCTGCTGAAATTTTGAGTAGAGCACCATTCTCTGTCGTAGTCGTCTTGAGCGAATAATTATACTTGATACGCACATGCACTTGCTTTTGTTTTTTCTTTCTGTCGTAAGGAGGATTTGATTTCATGGCTCTTTGTCAAACTGTCGCTGTTTTCCGATTTCTTGAAACATGTTAATTTCTGCGATAAATAGTAACGGCATAAGCACTTACTTGTTGTGAGAACTTTAACGTTTGAATCATTCACACTTGCCAATCATATTAATTCACATCGTCGATAGCGAGTAGCTTAAGAGTAACTTTTCTCGCAAAACGTGTTCGCAATATTATTAATAATCCTCTTTATAGGCATTAATATGAATTTGCAAGAAGTCCATAAGCAGATTTAGCATTAAGTTGCGTGTGTAAAAACTTTCGATCGTATATAAACAATTGTATAAAAACTGTTACGTGTTCGAGTAATAATGGGTCACGTATAAATCTTATATCTATCGAATAAATATTCTCGATAAACAGCGGAAAAACGGTCAAACACAAATGTTTTCTGGATAGATTTTACTCAATATAACCGAGCAATAGCGATAAAAAATCATTAAAAGAAGCATCGGTATAGCATAAGGTCCGCGGATACGTACAAGCAATGTAGCATAGGCGGGTTGGACCGAGGCCATTTGGAGGTTTGCTCGGGCGCAAAGAAGGCGCAAGCAAAAGAAGCCTTAACGTAAGCGTGTGCGCGCGAGAAGCAACTTGAATAGCAAATAGGTAAAGGCTACCGTATACAGCATCTCTATCTCACTCACCCTTTAGCTCGGCGCACGTAACCGCAGCATCTCTTTTTCTTACATCGCCGACTTCGCAATTCGTTATCCTGGCGTAGCAGCAGCCGCAGCCTCCTCCTCGTCAATAAAAGAGAACTGAAGCTCTTTTTTTCTTTGTCGGGGAAATTCGCTGACTCGTTCGGAAATGCTTTTAGAGGTGAACGCGTCGCTGTGTATAGTCTTCTTTCGGCACACGAGCTATTGTCGGTCGAAATAATGCTTCCGCTGGACTATAGCCGCTCGTGTTCAATTTGAATGACAATTCTGTCGATTGCGATCTCGTAGTGACTATAAGTATCTGATCAGAACGTTGAGAATTCATTGAATATTAAACTAATTAACAACTGTGGTGGATACCCTTGGAGACAGTTCGGTAAAAAATTCTTATCCTTTCACTTAATTTTGTTTTTTTTCTTTCTGAGCGTAGAAGAAAGTCTAGCACAAAATCCATTAAAATAGGTAGGAATGTACGAAAGAATTTAGCGCAGTAACCGCGATTATTTCCAAATCACGCTCGCGTATCTTCCCCAGCATTCCCGACGAAAGAATGACTTTTTTCGAAAAAAAATAATTCACCAGCGCACTATTCTAAGCTAAAATTATAACTTGAGTTGAGCTATAACCACATGCAAAATATTCGTCCGTTTTTCATCAGCAAACTTTAGCATATTGCGTTTAAAAAAGGCTGGTAACATTGAAGCGGAATGGCGATTCATATTTTTCAAGAAAACAATTAATTCTTGAACCTACGCCGTAATGATTATCAACCGTTGACAAAAGTAAACTTCTATAGCTCGAAAAAGTAAAGGGGGAAAATGAATTAATGAGCGACGATGACTACAACGACGAACGTGATCAAATCGATCTCTCGTCTTCGTGGTTACCGTGTAAATACGGTATCTGTCTTTCATCAAACTTTCACGTATCAACGTTAAACCGTGTTCTCGTATATCCTCTTCTCCAGCTGTAACGAAATGTAAACTCGACTGGAATATAACGATCGCCCCCGCTGTGTTATTTACATTTTTGATTTTTTTTAACGTTTTACGTACAAACAACGGCTTCTTCGTTCAATCTACAGCAATTGAAAAATTTTTCCATAATGTAGTTTAGTCGTGCTACAATATAGGTCAAACTTAGCAGGAAAAAATAATTAATATAAAGTTTTAGAGTTCTATTTCCATATGATAAAGTCTAACTATCAACAAAATTGTCTTGTCCCAAACATTTCACTGGTAATAGTTCATGACGTAGAATAATCTAATTCTTCGAAAGTAGCACTGCTGACACCATCACATACTGATGAACTTGTTTTCTCTTGGTTATCAAACGCGTACAAGTTGTATATGCAAAGAGCGGGAGGAAGAATGGGTGAAAAAATTATCATAAAATATCAAAGCGCGAGTTAATTTTCTGTTCACTGGCGTTTTAATTTGGTTGCATACGCGAAGGGTGCGAAGAATAGCCGCGCCAATTTAATTGTGGTTAGCGGCCAGTCCCGTCCATCCATTTTTTTCTCCTTTGCCCGCTATACTATTGATTGGGTGGAGTAGAGTAGGAGTGAGTAAAGTGGGGGATGATTCGTTGAAAGGCTTCATTTCCTGCAATTTTAACGGGGCACGAGTGGATTATCGTGTCCGGGGCTTGAGGCACCGCTACTGCAACTGGACGATTGCTCGTTGAATACTTTGATGCGAAAGCGAGCTTCTTGTTTTGCTTTTTTATTTTGTTCTCGCGCGCAGCTCGCTTGCGAAAGGTAATTGTCGAGGGCCGAGAATAGCGCTTGAATGAGAACCGATGGTCGTTTGAGGAAAACAGCCTGTGCTCCGCTCTTTTATTCTTTTTTTTTTTTTCGATCGACTTCGGTACAACTTTCACATGGAACTAGTTTATCGAAAAGCACTGTTCAACTTTAATGCAGACAATGAAAAGCTTAAAAAATCTACAGTGATACCCATATGGAAAACATACTCGGACAATTGCAATATTCAAAATATGCCTACCCTTTTCGGTATTTATAAACAACTGCGCGTGCGTAAACATTGATATGCATGCATATGTGAGAAATTACAAAATCAACTCACCGACGCAGTAAAATACATTAGGGATGCCCATCGTGAACGCATTTAACAGTCGACTATTTACGAATGGCATGTTTAATCTGCATGTGAATTTACCGGATTGTAGGCATTCAAATGAACAGATGAAATAAAATATTGGCATAATTCAATGTGACTGTGGCTTTTGTGTGTTTGAATTAACATGCGATATTCGCCGTTTCGTTTTTTTTACTCTGTAAAAACACAATACATTTTGCAAAACAATGATACATACAATCACCCAAAACAGAACAACAAGAAAGCAAAAAAATATGGAAAATAAGAATTGCCGAAATAGTCCCAAAAAGAGCCCGTGAATTACAGATGTCTCCTCTGCAGGTGTCGTGGGTGCGACACAGGGACATTCACTTGCTGACGATCGGCCGTTACACCTACACGAACGACCAACGCTTCCGAGCGATACACCACGTACACTCGGACGACTGGATGTTGCAGATCAAGTTTCCACAACATCGGGATAGCGGCATCTACGAGTGCCAAGTGTCCACGACTCCGCACATGAGCCACTTCGTGCATCTCAATGTTGTCGGTGAGTACTGTGCTGTTTACTCGTTCTCGCTCTTTTCGCGCGCTGCAATACGAGCACCGCCTCCGCGTGCACGGGAATTTCTCTTAGTTTGCCAACCGTACAAATTGGCTCGGCCGCGCGTGTATAGTTTCATCGCGCTCAGACAACTGGGAATACACGCGGACACACGCACACACATACAAAGTACGACTGCCGTAGTTGTATGACAAATTTGATACGCGCGCACGTGTATTGTTGGAAAGCTCGGTGCTCTCACTTCCTAAATCTCGTGTTTGTTGATTCTGGTATAACGCTATTTCCAAAACCTGTAATCTAGAGATGTAGAGATGCAATTTGGCTGCACGAATTCCGTAGTTGAGCTGAACTAATGCCACTTGAAATGCCGAATTCAATTTTTCAATGAACATTTTCAATATGTACAGGTTTCATAAAGAAACTCTAGCGAATTGTCTTATGTCTATTTCAAGTTATAAAATAATGATGAATGATTCTTTTCAATAAATATTGATACTATTTGTAATTACTTATCTCTTTCAAATCTTACCCTGAGATTTTTAATTTAGAAATGGTTGTATTCCAATGGAAAAACATTTTATATTATAGTAAATTTACATTTGTTTAATGTCCATTGCCTATTTCTACGTATGTTTGTTTAATGGACCGATAAATTATTTTGTATTAAAGTAAGGTAAGTACATCATGACCTGCGATTTCCCGCACCCATAGATTATACCATAGTCAGAATTTTCGCATTCGAAGAGACAATCAAATATGCCAGCGCTATTCTCATCAGTAAAAATTATTCGAGAGCTAATTAGTAATTTCTCACAGAACAAGCATAATCTTCTCACCCCCTTCTCGACTACCCATGATTATTCAATCACCAAAAAGGCCAAGAAGCAAGCGAAGCGTGCGGATGTAAAAGAAAATCCTCGAGTGAAAAGTTCATTTGGAGCTCGCTCAAGCAGAGCACTTGGAAATTTAATCATGCTCGGCTCAATTAAGCGCGAGCAGCAGTAGCGCCGGCAAGAGAGGTATGCGACGAGATATTCACCAGCCACACCCTCTCCTACTTCTCTATCTCGCAATATAGCGACAGAGAGGGGAAAAAAGGAGTTTTTTGCAAGTATTCTCATTTCTTCGTCGTAGCGCTGAAAATTGCTGCAATGGCTAATCGGAGCAAAGACGCGCAAACCAATTTCGAACATAGCTGCGGCAAACTTTCATCCGGTGACGGCGACGGCAAGTTTACTCGACTCTGTGTCCAACATCGCTAAGATTACCGTTCGAGCAAAGTTCCTACCAAGGGAATCTTGTTTGACGTGTGTTGCAGCATATCTTTCGATAGATACTTTTCCCTTGATTGGAGATGGTTTAAAATTGTAGGAAGTTTGTTTGATAAAGTCGAATGGATTGATGATGATTCGCAAATTTTTGATAGCATTGAATACTTGAAAACGATTGATTGCTCTTGATACGACTGGCAATACGGAAGCTACAATCAAATTTCATATCGAAATGATCTTGTGAAAATTTTCATTTGTATATTTTCAATTTCGATGCGGAATTTTTAAATGAGAAATGTCGTTCATGCTCAACAATTTATCATACAATTTTGTTCCTACCAACAGACAGGATATATAGTTATTGTTTCTGACACTTTAATTTATTATTTACACAATTATTACATAACATAATTTACATAATTTATTATTTACAAAACAGGTGGATGTATTTTAGAAAACTGTTATGCAGAATTTTAACAGCTTTGACACTTCGAGTACAAATGCACATAGCAACTTCAGAGACTGCCACCAGTCGATCATTAAAACGATCCATTTATCCAACACTCATTTTCGGTCGTCAAAATACGAGTATATAAATACCTCTATAGGGAAACTATAGGCCAACAGATAGAGAGAAAGAACAAAAAGTAAATAAAACGCAGTGCCAATTCAATTTCGAGAAGCCATAAACAAAGCGAGCTGTATATAAAACAGCGGAAAGCGGAATGAAAAACCTCGGAGCACACTTGAAACGGAAATCAAGGGGATTAGCGTTGCATAATTCGCACAGTACGAGTTGGCCTCAAGTTCCGAACAATGGAAACCCAACGGGATTATACGATCGGTTCTATAAGGGAAAATAGCTACGAGCGCATAGTAATAGTAGTAGTAGTAGTAGTAGTAGAAAAAAATCTCGAGCATTATAGAAGAAGCCATTATTTTATTCGGCACTAAAATACTGAAGAAATTCGATCATTTCAATGCAATTGAGTGAACGGTTGCTAGACATTAACACCGTCTGGCTAGCTGATAATGAAGGTAACAGGCTGCGACATTTTTATCCAACGTTGGACTAAATAAAAAACAAATGCCATGATTAATACTTCCGTTTGATCTGCTTTTCTCCCCCAAGTCCAATTTTCATTCGACTTTTTAGCGTTGAATCCGGTTTGTACACGAAAGGGAAAAATTGTCATTGGCTTTAGGTTGTTCTAATTTGCAAATAGCGTATGTGTCAAATATAATTTTGCGAAATTCCCATTTCTAACATTTCAAATCAAATTCGACTAATTGGTTTCGAAAAGCTAATACAACGTACTCCACGTGTCTTTCCCTCCTTCATTACACATGTATTATCCAAATAGGATCAATCCACTTGTTCCAGTTCAACGAATACACTTCAAGACCATTAACCATAACTAATACAAGCCGCTGTCACTCAATGAACAAACTAACCTGTAACCAGGCCACTCGAATAACCACTACATCACATCTCGTTCTCTTTCGTTCTACGTGTTTTTGTTTCACTTGTCATGGGAAGTGTCAACTCTTTTTTACTCGTATAATTCATTGAGCTTTTCATCAACGATATACCAAACATCTCACATCAAATGAACAAGAACATTTTTTATCTTCTGTGAAAATACGAAACGTTCTCATGTTATGTTGCATACGTTCAGTATTAGTCATGACAAGAGTCTTCAGAATTGGCTACATAACATTCCATCTATGTGTTAATGGTTGGTTCTCATGAAAGATATTTTGGAAAATAAATTATATTTCAAATAAAACTCTAATTCATTCACGGCCACTAGACTTATAAAAAATAAAATATCTATTGTAAATAAATTACAAACCAAAAATAAGTAATACTTAACTGTTATTTTTACAATATATACATTTTTAATGTAAATAATATTTGAACAAATACATTATTATTTAACGAATTATTACCTTTTGTAACTGAAAATTCAGTAAGAGATTAATTAATATTCCATCTTTATTTTACATCAGGTTTAACATGAAAATTAATACTAAAAGCAAATTCACTTATATAAAAATAATAACAATCGTATTAATTTAACTTTTTCATAGTATTTTGATTGACAGGAGTTTCCATTAAAAAAAATTTCAAAGAAAGATATTTATAACCCAAGCAGTTATCACAGGCAACACCACCTAATTCCTCATCTGTTCGCCTGAACCTATACACTGCCGCAAACTTTCAACAGTCACGTGAGCAATATAGAACGCTCGCTCAGGCCTTTTTACTCGTAGAACAGCAAAGAAAACTTAAAACACTCTCACAAATACAAACATACACACACACGCGCGCAGACATACTAAAAGTGGTTTGTTGGTGGTACTCATCGCGAGGTTCACCATCTTAAATGTACACACACACGCGCGCGTACACATACATAGTGAGTAAGGGAAAAAGTAGGCGATTGCCGAGTGTCATGCCACGCGAGCTCTTTTTTCTTCATTTCTTGTTCCGCTCCTTCGTGAGACTGCACGAATCGCGCTCACACGCATTTACAGCGACAAGCTTTTCGTCGTAAAAGTCTGTCGCAATGTCAATGAGATTTATGCGGTTTAATAGTACCGCGGAAAAAAACAGCTCTACGATGGCTTCGACACTTTCAAGTTACCAGGTCATGAGCGCATTTTTTTAACGCACGTTCGTCTATTCCGATGACTCTTTAAAGATGAGGTGGTAAAAAAAAAGATTATTTAAAATTTATTTTCATATACACACACATATAGCCAAATTTTCCAAAATCAGAGTAAATCAAGTATTTGAAATGCGTTAAGACTTTTCGTTGAACAATTCTAACAATTCACGTGGATTTTGAATTTCGTGCTACCATTTGTACATAAATTACAATAAATTCAACTAAATAGTATAATATTCGTGAACGTGGCGATCCGTAATTTCGTTTTGAAAAATTACGTTTGCTTCGCACATAATTGCGCAAACGCATGAATATTTATTTTTGATAAATATTTAGCTGTAATGTGAACGAATTATCTTCAATATACTAATATTAATAAAAGCAAATGGTTTTGGCGAAGAATTAATAATGACATGCAATAATTGAATTAATGCACTTTCTAGCAGGAGAAATAAGCTACGAATGCTTTTAGGTTGCATAATTAAAATTTGTACCTTCATATGTATTGTGACAGGGTTGATAGCGATACTCGCTAACCCTGTGTGCGGCACTCTCCTCGCACGGATGTAGCGGCCGAGCGTGGCTATGGTTGACATGGCATTCACGCGCTCGTGTCGTTGCAGGGCCTGGAGAGGGGAGAGCGCGACTGGCGGAGAAGACGGTGCGAGAAGAAGCGAGAGCGCGAAGAGCGTGAGAGAGAGCGAGAGAGGAAGAAGAATAGGCGAGAACGCGGAAAGCGCGGCTCGCGCCGCGAGAATTATGAGAGCGGGAGAGAAATTGAGGGCAGTTGGAGAGTGACCGTACGCTAAAGAGGTCACGGCGCGAGAGAAGTCTGAGACGACGCGCCAGGAGAGAGGAACCCCAGGACGAGAAGTCTTCGCGTGGTAGATCTCCGGCTGCTGTTCGAGCAGCCCTTCAGCGACCATCATCAGGCGATCGAGAAGCCGATCCCGGCCGCTAGCTGCCAACCAGCCGCCGCCGGTGATTCAGCGAGCCCCGCTGCCAGCCGGACTGCGATTTCGCCGTCGTCGGCTTTCCA